ACCTCTTTCTTGTTTTCTTGCGCTTTGCTCCGACGCTTGTTTTTTTATACTGCCTTTTTACGTGTAAATCCACCTTTTACTTGGTCTTTGTCCCGATGCTTGTTTTCTGTGTTATATGTTTTACTTAAAAGTAAACATTTCGACGGAACTCCGCCTGGTTAGGTAAGTAATAAGACAGGGTAATTTGTAGACTCTAACCAATATCTTAAATGTGCCCGACGTTTCGAAGCCGGCTCGGCTCATTGATCACGGGTGACTGTATGTGGGCCCAAAGGTAGCAACCTGTCGTTGTTTTCTTCTATAGCATTGTTTTCTTCTTCTGTTTTTTTGTGTGGCGCATCTTAGCCCGTGGATATTAGCGGCGAGATGTTTTAATGGCGCCCTCTTACGGTTCCCCCTTGTGACGTCATTACCTTGTAAACAACAAGTTCGATGGTGTTTGTAAATAGCATGGTGGAAGCTTGAAATCATTGGGCTCTCAAAGGAACACTGCCAACACCGTCAAAATTAATTTCATTCCTCTTATTTCCGTCGATAATAAGTCCCCTTCCCACGTCATAGTCAGCGTTCGGCCAATCGTGGAAGGTAGAGTGCCTTCATACACACGCGCGCTTTTGCTTGAGTGGTGACATCTCAGCCATTTTTCCGCCCAATCGTTTTTTTTATGCATTTTGAAGTGCGCGCAATCCGGTGTCACTCAGCTCGAGCGCGTAGCTTTGGCTGATGCATAGACGCCATCTTACCGCCCAAGTCACGCACCGAGTGCGCGAGAGCGTCACGCGCTGGAACATTCCGGACAACAATGGATGTCTTCACCCTGAGACAGACAGACATCTAGGCACCCTAGTGGAAGGCCGACCACAGCGACGCTTTCGGTCGCGGACGTCGCCAATAGAGAGTATTCACTGGCGGCCATAGCTGTATGCGCGAATGTTGAGCGCGTGCTGATGGCGAGCTTCCACAGTTCTTTTGCAACGTGCACTCCGCACCATCAGGAGTGCCGGTCTTAGCAGCCTATTGATGTGAGCTCGTTCCGAGCATGCGTTCTTAACAGCACCCACAAATATGGCGTCCAGTGAATACTCCCTATAGCTGCTTGGCACCGTTCCGGTGGATCGGTTCAGATTGTGGTTAGTACTTTATATGTGCCAAGGTTCTAATAAGAAATGCTTTCCCCAGTTGCTTTCTCTATCGAGGATGGAACTGCTGTCAAAGCAGATGACGTGGCCGATCTTCTGAGCATTTTCCGCCAGCGCGTTTGCCTTGGATGTCTTTCTTTTTTACGTCAAACTTATGTCTGCGCAGACGTTCGGCAAAGTTCCTCGTTTCCCCGACCTAAGAGGTGTCGCATTCAGCACAAGGAATTTGGTAAATCAAGCCTTGAGCCTTTTTTTTTTTTTTTGGGGGGGGGGGGGGGGGGGGGGGGGTGGGGACGATCCTTCGGAAAAGGAAGAAGATGGCTTAAAGTTGAGACAGGTTTATGTGTTAATGGTATGCCGTGCAGTCTCAGAACGTCGGCTAGGACCTCGTTCGTGCCATGGAGGTACGGGACGCGCATGCGGCTGGAGGTGCTTTTGTTCTTGGATGTAGAAGGGTGACAAAGTTTCTCGTATATCTTGTTGACGAATCTTGTGGAGTAGTTGTTTTTTTTTCGAAGGCCTCGTTTTATAAGACCGACTTCCATCTTTAGTGACTCCTTTGTTGAGCAGACCGTGAGGGCTCGTCGAAAGAGCGCCGATACCACAGGGGATTTGTAAGTTGTGGAGTGGTCTGACGAGAAGTGTAGGTAGCGACCGGTACAAAGTACTAACTAGAGATACAAAGTACCAACCACAATCTGAACCGATCCACCGGAACGCTGCCAAGCAGCTGTATCCACGGGCTAAGATGCGCCACACACAAAAACAGAAGAAGAAAACAATGCTAAGGGAGAGATGAAGAAAACAACGACAGATTGCTACCTTTGCGCCCACATACAGTCACCCGTGATCAAGGAGCCGAGCCGGCTTCGAAATGTCGGGCACATTGAAGATGGTTGAAAAAAACCCCGAGACTGCGGGTAAACGACCCGCAGTCTCGGGGTTTTTACCCGTTTACCCGCAGTCTCGGGGGTTTACTCGTTTACCCGCAGTCTCGGTTATTTTTTAACCATGCGCAATGTACACCAGCTCGTTTGCGCCCTTACATTTTGTTCACATTGAAGATATTGGTTAGAGTCTACAAAGTACCCTGTCTTATATGTTTTACATTCAAGTAGGTTTGGGTTACAAGCAAGCTAGCGGATTGCCGCTCGTTTCCTTTGGCTTTAGTCTCTGGATACTTTGTTTCACCTCGCGATGGACCGCTGCGGACGCTACGAGTCAGCCCAGGCAATCCAGCACCATGAGCGGGACCACACGCACGGCGCGTTGCTGCGCCCCAGGGTCACGCGACACTCAGAAGGCACTGAATTGGTTTTGATGGCTCTCATGCTGTCTGTTACGGTCTATCGTAAGCTGAAGTAGACTATCGTCACCGCTCTTGTCGCGTGACCGAACGGACTGGACCTGCAGAAAGACAGTTTCGTGACATGGTCTATACGGTCCCTTGTGCTGCGCCGTAGAGGTTGCACTTTGTCAGAGGATGTGTTCTTGCCGCTGTGCATGGAGTCGCGTCCAGCAGCGTACTAGCCGTGTTGCTGTGCAGGTATTTGAAGAATACAGTAATATAGCTTATTTCCGCGCCACGCACGAACTGGATATTTGTATAGTCTTATCAAACAAACACGCTGGCCGCGTTTGTCCTAAAAGTCAATGGACCTTTTCCACATACCGACGGCACCAGGCGGTGGCTGCATGAGCTAAAAATCGAGGAAGTGACCTACCTGCGCTACTAATCGATACCGGGAGCTACGCTACCAGTTTCTTCGCTCTCCGAGCTGCGTCGCGTGCCCAACGCGAGCTTACAGATGTGCATCCGTGGCGTCCACCCAATCGTTGTGTTTTTCCTTCTGTCCACTTTCTTTTTTTGTGTAAGCCAATTATATATATGCTGCAATTACCTGTTCTACTCGCTTATCCGCAGGCTCATTCCGAATTTCCTCGATTTTTCGGTCCGACTTCCGCCGCTTGGCATCGGGCGCTCGCGCGTGCGCAGAACGCTTCTCGGAAAAGGTCCATTAAAAAAAGTTCGCAAAAAAAAAAAAATGAGTGGATTTAAGTTTTGCTGTTTGTTGCGAGCCACGTGGTCGAAAGACTGATGTCTTAAACAAGCATCGACATATCAGGGGGCTTTCTCGATGTCTTCACTACAATGTAAACAAACACGTTGTGCCACCAGCGTGCATAGTAAAATCAGTGCTTTTTTTTTAAGGCCTTTAGCATTTTTTTGCAATTGTCTATGCGCTTGATAATGTCAGCTTTATGTTGCTTGTGCCGGCAACACAATGTAGCTGTCAAGTGCCAATTTTTACGTTTAGGAATTAGGGGAATGGAATTGAACGACTCAGCCATTCCAGGAGTGGGAATGAGCCCAGTGTCCCCATTCCTAGGAGTCGAAAGGAATGGAATTATCGGAAACTCTAATTCCCCGGAATGGAGTTGGAATGGGGGTGCCCATTCCGCAACACTGGTAGACAATAGGGACTTTCAGCGAACCGCTACCGTGTTCCGCGTACCGTACTACCGCAGCTTTTGAAGCACGCTTTGAAGGATCCAGTAGTGCGGTACGCGGAACACGGTAACGGTTTGCTAAAGTTCCTAATAAGACAGTTCATTGACAGCCGTTTCAATACGCGCTGCTAAAATGAGAGTTCAGATATACGCATCTACGTGCTTCATTGCGCTGAAAAGCACGTGCAAAAAACAAACCGAACCTCCCAAGAATTTTAGAAGACGCGAAAATGCTTCCACGAAATACGGTCGCGTTAAAATCATATTTGCGATTCGCGTCCGATAAAAACACACGTGTAGATTTCTTTTTTTTTTTTCCGGAAAATTGGTGTGGAAATATTTTTTCTCTAGTCGAATTTGGTGAGATTTCCTATTGCTTCTACTCGCATCTGTTGCCTCCTTTATGGCGAAAACGCATTTGCGAAAGTTCATGCAGAAAACGCACGAATTTCTAAGCGTAAAAAAAAATAATTCCACACCTTTTTTTTTTTTTTTGTAACGATCCGTTGGGTGGTATTAATCTCACAAAATATATTATATTTTCGTGCAGTAAATACTATGATTTATCGAAAACGAATTTCGCACGTTCGCCGCGAGGGGTGCCAAGTTGTGGCAAAATAAAAAGTGGGGAGGATATAGGAAAGGATGAGGCGGGCAGACTTGGAAAGAGCAAAGTGTACGTCGGCCTTTAAGCACATGTCAAGCGTTCTTACGCCGTTCCTACAGAGGACCTTATTTCGAGGCAAATGAGTGCTCCCTCCGCGAATTTATCAACTATACTCCGTACTGAAATTCTCTTTTCGTTTGCATGACCAACAGAATGTACTTTTTTTCTTTTTAACATATCTGTAGTAGCAGTCTACGAACGGCGTTTTCATGTAAGTTTTTCAGTAAAGGAGCGCCGATTTCAAGACGTTTATTTCGTGAAAGCAGTACAGATGAATCTTTACAATGGTGATTATTAAATATCACAGGATTTAAAACACAACGCATACCTGCTTAAAAAATGTCCATCCTTATTTTTGAACAAGGCACGAGCAGATTTATCGAAAGAGTAAAACACATGCGCATCTCAGTTTTGGTTTCGGTCACGCGAAAACCCGACATTCCTGCGTGCCGACAAATACAATGAAATTAAACTACATATGATAAAAACAAGAAAATGGATCATTCCTTACCTTGCTGTTAGCGGGCAAAAAGGAAATTCCACTTGACAAGATGAGAGCTCGCGCAAAAACTCGCACAGCCGCTCAAGAACCCAAAGCAAGGCGGGCCACTGCCCGACTCCGACGATTTCGAGTCAGTTCCCGTTTAATATTTCGTCTAGTGGCGCCACCTGGCCGTTCTAGATTGGAGAAAAAAAAGTAAAAGCGGCCATAGATGGCGTTACCGTTCACATCGCTCGCCTATCGCTCGCTGGCTGCAGAAAGCAGAATTAGGCCTATTAGTACTGTGCGCTGCCTGTTTATGTCTGACGAACTACGCGACTTCAATGCTCGATAAAACCTGACCCGATGTGTGTGCACAACCGAATGTGATTGTTCGGCTGCGAGGCGGTGGGCCGGGTGGACGCAAGATGCGGTATCTGGAGTGAATCATTCCGGGAAGAGAATATTAAAACCGCACTTGGAATTGACAGAAAAATCAAGATGGCCTCCGAGACGTCTTCGGTCGCCGCTGCAGCCACCGAGATTGTCGCCTACGATCCCGGCACGACGGAACTACGGGAAAGCACCGGTACGTGCACCAGATCATTCCCCGGGCCTTGCACCACGGTCCGGGCCCGTAGCCTGGGGTCAAGCGCCCTTCCAGAATGCGGAAACGCCTTCCCCGTTCCCGAGGAACGTCGCGAGTCCCTGATACTTTTCTGTCCGTTTGCGGTTCGTTTTTACCCGCCTCCCAGTCGCCGGTACTTTCTGATCGACGCCTCCTATGGCACCCGATGCCCGCGTACCCGTGCCGACGACCGACCTAGAACGGTCAGCCGACGTTGTGGATACTGCATTCCGTAGCTCACTCTTAACTCGCTCTGTTAAATAGGCCATTTGGGAGGTACGGACTGTGAGCATAACTTCTGCTCTTGCGACCCACGAAATCAAGCAGTGTCTATGTAAAGGCTGCTTGGTGCCCGCTGCCCGTGCAGCTTGCAGTGAGAGTCGGCGTTTGTTTGCTCGAGACGTAACTTGTCCTCAAGACCAGTTTGGCGTTGAGTCATAGGCCTACACACAGCCGTCAGACTACGCGCATACCAACTAATTCAACCGCGTCCCACTTGCTTTGGTTTATGTTTTACGCATGGAAAACTTCGTTAATTGGCTTCGACCTTTTCTCGTTCCGAGCTGCGCTACCTTGGATTCACTCTGAGCTGTGATGTGTGTTGGTGTTGTAGTTTGTATGAACTTTAGACAATTCTTTTCAATGGGCATGCATTTTGCCCTGACCTCCAGATTCCGGCACATTACGTTATCCCCCCTCAGGACACGGTCTGGAAGGGTCTCTGATAAGCAGACACCTCGGTTTGATATCATCGTAGCTCTTGTGAGTGTAACTGCTAGACTATTGTTCTTCAGAAACTGATAAAGAATCAAAGTGAGTAGCGTTTGAGACCGGTCTTGTACCCCATAAGAATTCTAGGTGCCTAACCTTTTTCGCCCATCATGCTCTTTGTGGCATGTATGAGCTTTTCTGCTGTAAAAGCTTGAATATGATTTTTTGCATTATCTCCTGTTGAACCAGCTCTCTTCAGTCACATAAACTGTGCTTCAAAATTTAATGCAGTTTCTTGCCCTCGACTTTCTTTAGTTTTGTAGGCAGACTACACACTATTCTCTGCAGGCAGGAGCTCAGTTTGCCAGATACTAGGTACCTCTACTGCAAGAGCATTCACACAGTGCAAGTGCATCCTGATCCAGAAGAATGCATCAGATTTTTGTTACACTCTAGGTTGAGGGGTGAAAGGGCTGTTGATACATCAAAACAGTGACGGAAACCTTCGACTGGGCAAGAAGCATGAACTACATTTGTCCAAAAGGGTTTCAATGGCACCCATCTATCATAGGATTTTGGATTGTCAACGAATGTGACTACTACAGTCGGTGACAGGTTAAAAAACCAGTAGACGCTAGACCTCCAGCACGCTCTTGTTATCTTATGTTGGTCTTTGGTGGCGCATGCGATGAAGTGCTATTGAAGGCGCAAAGCTCATGCTCAAGGTGGAGAATTTGCTGGGTATTTTCAAATGTTAGTGCTGGTTTGCTGTATGACTGTACTATTGTGAACAGGCATGGTGTAGAATCCACTATGCTTGGTCACGACAGCATAATAAAAACAAATAATGTGCTGCCTGCTTACATCCTACAGCTATTTTCAATGTGGACAAAGAAAGTGTTGGGGGAGCCAGAATTGATGACAAAAGTATTGTTGTCAAGTCTAAAAGACATGGCTGTTAGATTTTTATAAAAGAACGTAAATTTGAAGTGCCAATAGTGTCAAATAGGACCCAGAAACATAAAACTTAAGTTTTTGTCACAAAAAAAAAAATATATTTTTTTTTTTCAATTTTTTAAAAGTTTTTTGGAAGGTAAGGAATAGCATGCAAAGTAGCTACAGGTGTACTTTGCTTTCAGCCCTAGTTTTAGTGCGAAGGAGGACATCTAATGCATCTAACAGTATTTTTTTACCCTCAGTTTCAGAAAAGCCTCCGAAGCCAAAACCACCGCCTATTGATGTAAGTGCCATTCTTGTTTACTTATTGTTTCCAGCCCCTGATGGTGACCTGGCAAGATTTTGCTGATATTAATTTAATTTTATCAACATTAACTGCTGAATGAAACAAGTTCTGGAAAATGCATAGAAATGCTTGATTCCTTGGGCAATTTATAAACTTCATGTTTGCAATACTTTGGGGAAATTGTATGCATAGCCTGCTTTATTGTTTTGTTAAAACATACATTTTTCAATGAAGGGTGTAAAGTCTTAGCTGGTGATCATGTTTCTCCTTTTGTTTGAAAACAGGGCTGTGAAAACATTATTTGAATATTATTTAATATTTTTATGTCTTGTATATCCCAGACACATTAGGTTGACCTTAAAAAGGTCTGTGCTAGTCCAGCAGGCCAGTTTATCCAAGGAGATTTTCACTCCTAACCTTGTCGCTGAAATTTAATTGATATACATCCAAAAACCATGTTTAAATTCCACCCATTGAATGTGATCGTCCAACTAGCACATAGCACACCTTAGAGGAAATTTTCCTTACACGGGTTGAGATGCAGATTTGTGAAGATTACTTGACTCTTAAGTAAGGAATGCTTGATTTTTTTTTTTTTTTTTTCCTTCGAGAGCACTAATTAAATTTCGTATAAAACTGCCAAGGTATGTATGGTTGTTTATTTGTGACAGTCTAAAAAATTGACCATACGTAGTGACCAAAGAACAAACCTCGGAAGAGAGGTTTGAAAATGTTTGGTTGTTGGAGTTGTTAATAAAACTTAAAATTTGTGTTTTTATCTTTTTATTGTAACCAGTAACACTACAAATTCAAAAAAAAAAAACCTGGAAACTCCTCATTTTTAAGTTTAGTGCTAAGGCGAACCTAGCTCCTCTTCTGATTGGAGATTGATGTGCTCCCCAACCAATATAATATACTCTAACCTTGAAGCATGTACATTATACTTTTTTGCATTGACGTTATGGGTTCTGCTTTTAGCCTGGATCAATGAAAACGGTTATTTCTGGTGCAACCCTTGCCGTCATGAGACAAATGAGATGCATTGGAGTTTTTGGTGAGGTGACACCCGATTTGTACGTCTAAAGGAGCTATTGTTCATTTTCTGCCTTTCTTTTGCATGTCCATGTGTAAATAATATTAGTTTAAATTCCTTTTGCACTCCTCTTCCCACACTGGCATTAGCTGGTTTTCTAGGAAACAAGCATGACAGCATTTGACTGAAATATGTGACATGTAATGCATCGGGTTCTTTTTTTTTTTTTTTTTCTTTTGAGTAGGTTTCAATTTATTGCCAACTCTAAAAGGGAGCAGCAGGTGCACCCAAGAAGCATAATTTCTAGAAATTGGTAGAGGACTCCCCCAAGGAAAACTATACTGCTTTAAACATGAAATAATATGTCTAGACATTTGGGGCTGTGCAAGAGGTTGTCTTGGTCACACAACTCATTGGTACAATTGCAAACACCCATGAGACATTGCTTAGCCAAAGAGCTGTCTCTTGTAGTAAAAATTCTGGTGCAAGTGTTGGAGACAAGACCTCTATGATCAAATCACAAGTAACTATATTATTGTCATGGGCAATTTTCTAATTGTCCCATTAGTGCTTTTCGAGTGTAGGAACAGTTATCGTATGACTAGTTTGATTTCTTTCTGGGATAATGCAATCATTGGTAATAATTGCTTTTGGAAGTCATCGGGATTGCATTCCACAACATAATTAAACTTTAAGAGATTGTACGTGTTTGGTCCTATTCTGCTCTTGGGCATGATGGAGAAAAAGAAATAAGACACCCAAGGAGCAAACATTTAGGAACTAGACCACCTAGCTATGAGTTTCCAGTTTATTGAACTCCACATTCACATGGCAAATCACTTGCATGACCTAGTAAAGCGATCAGAAGCATAACGGTTATGCTTGAAGCAATCAGGCCCAGTTCATTTCACCTCTAGCTAATTGCCTTATCTGGGAAGCACATACGAGGCCACCGCCCATAGCTTTTGAAAGGGCCAGTTGTCGGTCCTGTCTCAGCCTGATGGTGTATCTGACGGCTGTCTTGCCTTCTCTCCCGGACAGGTGAGTGCAGCACAGCAATACCAGCAGCCGGACAACAAGACGCCCACCACCAACCAGCCCCAGACACCGGGCAGCTCGGCGTACAAGAGCAAGCTGGACAAGGAGAAGAAGATCGGCCACCGCAGGGTTGATGAGGAGGGCCAAATAACTTATAAAAAGGTACGCTGGCATAAGGGGCTCTGGTCCACTTGGCCCCTTGGGGCAACATTTGTCCTGCTGGTACTGTCGGGACGCCCAAGAGTGGCCAGAGTTAGAATCTAGGGGTCTACGATCACGGTACGACTTCCTGGTAGGGGCATTGTCTGTTTCAACTTCTGTTACGCCCGGGGCATGTTTTTCGGCACTTGTTTGGGGATCATTTTTTGTTTGACCGATTGTAAGTGGTTTTATATTGAGAATTTTATATTTTATCTTTTATATTTTCACTTGTCTGTTTGTCAAGTTTCTGAGAGACTGAACTTCATAACTGGGGTATGCATGTCTGTGGACTGCATGCTTGCACCTCTATGTGAACATTTTCTTTTTCTCATAACTTTCTTCTTTCTTTTTTTGAAGTTTGCAAGATTGAAGTTACCAAGAAATGTAGATTTCTTAGATAGTATTTTGGAAAAATGTGCCATGCTTTAGTAGTATTATCATACACTGTTTTTCACATAATGTTGGGTTTCATTTACCTCCACGCTCAGTGTAGGGGGGAGTTGCATACTGAGCAGGCTAATCGGCGTGCAAATGTGTTTTTGCCGCATATACATTAAAAGTTTCTTTTGTCCATTTTGGGACATAATGTTAGTACAAGGAGAATGGAAGCATGTTTAAATGTTTTGAAGTATTAACAGAGAAAGTATTTTTCTAATGATGGTGAGCCATAACTGATACAACCTTAAGCGGATTCACCCATACTAGCTGACTGAAAGGTCACATGATGCAAGGCCAACTGTGGCAGCACATAAATATGTTCATCAACCTTGCCTGGACAGCCCTTTAGCTGTATAGTGCACACAGCTGAAGATGTACCATACAAGCACAGGATGATTGATTGGTTGTGTCTGTAGATACTGAAAACAAACATACGGATTATTGACAATTTCTTCAGTTCAGTGGCTTTGCGAGAGAACAGTAGTATTTGTGTTTTGTATCTGTGTTTTGGGGGATTACCTCTGTTTTAGTGACATACACGTGCCTAATTAGTTCTTCTTCTGTTTTCTTTTGTTGTGCAGATTCAAACGTCCCAAATTATAGGTTCAATTCAACTAGGCATAGGCTATGCAGTGGGCAGTCTGGCTTCGAAACCAGAACGAGATCTGTTGATGCAGGACTTTGCAATGGTAGAGTCCATCTTTTTCCCAGGGTAAGTAACAAGCTTGATTCTTTCCTACCAGTGAGGAGAGCAGTCTCAAGGCCAACTGTTTAATGTTTTATTTTATTTTCTGTTGTTAAACTGACTCGTCACATTTTTAGAGATGTCCGGTTATACTCCTTGCCTAAAGTTTGGCCTTGTAGTGCAGGTGCACGATGGTGCGCATTCATGACTCGTGCTAGTTTTACCAGAAGGGATACATCTAAAAGCTTGCAGAGGCAGTTTTCTTTCTGAACATTTGTATTCTTATTTGATGAGAGGAGTATCTGTATGCTGCTGATGGCAAATTCATACTGATGGAGTGTTTTCAATCTGCGTGGCTCCCAAATGCACAGTGGAATTGCTTTTTGTTTTCTTAAATCTGAAAGAAAATTTGTAACCAACTCAATGTTTTTTGTTGTTGTTATTTTTTTTGGGGGGGGGGGGGGGGGGGGAGAGAAGGGGTTAATTTTGTAAATCATTATCTTTGTCTTGAAATAGGAATTGAGCAATTCGCAATTCTTTTCCCAAGAAAATGCTTATATCTCACATTGTCCCATTTTTGCTGTTGGGTATATGTGGTCCTTTGCATTGTCTGAGAGATTTCTGCCCTTTTTGTTTTCAGGGAAGGAAGCAATCTCACTCCGGCACATCACTACAGCGACTTCAAATTCAAGGCGTATGCTCCTGTGGCCTTTCGATACTTCAGGGATCTGTTCGGTATCCAGCCGGATGACTTCCTTGTGAGCCCTCTCTTTTTGTCTTCCTTGGCATGGGATCAGCTTCCCGTTTCTCATGGGGCTCCATGGTTATATAATATGCAAACAGGGAGGTAGTGGAATTAATGATTAGGCTGGCAGCATGCAATCAAACCACCATTGGGGGGAATATATCCTTCAAGATAACAAGAACCGAGGTAGATAGCTACGTGAAATTATTTTATTGACATGCCGCCCTGCTGTGAATACTGCATCAGGCATTGCTGAGTGAACTCGTATGCTAAAGTTAATTGATTTGTAGAAACAAGAGTATACCACTATACAAGGCTTATTTCAAAGGGTAATTGTGCAGTTCCTCCCCAGCACTTCTGTTTATCAAATTTTATTTCCAATAGAAAAAAATGATTGAAGATATCAAATTGTTGAGGGTAGCAGTTGCTTCCAGGCACCTGAATTAATAATACTAGTCATTCTTTGCATTTAATGAATACAAGCTAGGACTGAATGTACCCAAAGTCATGTTTGTTGCAGAACTTTTACCGCACCCATTCAATCAGACTTTGACGATGAAGGAGGACAATATGATGGCTTAACATAGTCCCTCCTTGCTTCCCTGCCTTCCAGCTTTCGCTGTGCAACGAGTCTATGCGGGAGCTGACGAATCCCGGTGCCAGTGGGAGCATTTTTTATCTCACCAACGACGACGAGTTCATCATCAAGACGGTGCAGCACAAAGAGGCGGAGTTTCTGCAGAATCTTCTGCCTGGCTACTACATGGTAAGGTGCCATTGCAGCTATGTCTCGTTAATGAGGACACCTCCATGCCCCCTGAAGCACCCATAATAATGAGACAGAAATGCACGTGTTCACCCTGTTCGTCCTTGAAAATGTTGTCCATATAGCGAGGTGTCCATATTATTGGGGTCTGTATTAATCTGTGCCTTCATTTCATTTTTTTTTTTTTTTTTGAGACTGTTTACCATTGTTTATTGATTGCAATGTCCTTTTGCACCATTGGATGGGTTGCACGTGTGATTTGTCTTTTATTAGTCTCATTTTTATTTTTCAGCTTGATAACTGTATCTGACAGACATTAGTTTTACAAAAACAAATGCTTTTTAGAGCTTCTATGATATTAAAATTACCAAAGCATCCGGGGAAAGAGAATGTTTACAGACGACTGCCCCCTTGTCCAAGAAATAACACGTAGCTGCAGCAATGTTATAAAACCCAGTGGTGGTGGAGGCAATTCGGAGATTAAGCCAACATCTGGTGGCGTCTTTCTAAAGGGAAGTGGGTTACCATTATCATGCCTCACTTGTCATAGTATATCTGGGCAGGATTCTAACAAACTAGTGCATTGCCAATTTTCCCATTGGCGTAATGGGAAACAAGGATGAGACTGTGTGCATCGTTTCATTCTTTGCATTGAACTATTGGACGCAGAAGCATATTACTCCATTTGGTACTATGCAGGTTCTGCTTTCTTGGTAGGATGATAGTCAGACGAATTATGTCTGGTTTTCCACGTGGAGGGGCACCGTTGGGCATTATAGTGGTTGCAGGAGGACCTACCTGGAGGGCACTGCTTGGATTCCATTATAGTAGGATGTTGATTGCTACAATTTTGTGTAAGGACGATATGTATGTTTTTTTTTATCGGTTGTCATTGATCATTTTTTGCTATCGGGTGTTGCCTGCTTCAAAAGAACTATTATACTTGACTTTTTTACTTTGTAAGCCAAGTAGTACAAAGCTTTCACTCCTTCTGTTAGAACACTTATAGGGGGAAGGATGTCAGTTGAGGCTCAGCCTATCTCACCTAGCATGGAAAGATTGGAATGCGGCAATCTTGCTAGCACGATTGTAATAAGATTTTTATGCCGAACGCAACTTTTTAGGCATTACCCCATCCAGAATTTAGCATCTGACAGATTGCACTAAAGCCATTTGTATCATTAATTTTGTCCAGTAATTTGAGAGCAGTGTTCTTTGGCCATGTTTCGCAGCACTTTGTTTTTTGCTTGAATTCATACAGCTTATGTAAGGAAGATGCTGAGAATGCCAACCTTATTTTGCAGAACCTCAACCAAAATCCGAGGACACTGCTGCCCAAATTTTTTGGGCTCTACTGCTACCAGGTGAGGACCGTCATACCCCCCTTTCTAGACATTTAAAGCTCACCGTCGCTTGGCATGTTAATTGCACTTAGTTATCAGTTCAGTTAAGACTGCCTCCATTGTGTTGAGGTTCCGTAGTGGCTTCTGGAGTGCAAAGCGTAGGGTTCGAACCCTGGGTGGTTGCTTTTATTAGGAGTCTTCGAGACATTGCTCATAGCCTCAGTTGCTCTGAAACTTAAAACCAAAGTATTTTCATTAGTGCTCAGTGAGGTTTGAAAGGGGCGGTTAATGTAGTGCAGTTTAACATATTTATTTCACTGCGAAAGCATTAACTGTCCCATGGAACAAGCTGACGTCGTCGGTAGGAAGCGCGAAAACGGCACCTAGTTTCCGCGATTTCACCTTCGGTTCCATTGGCTGGCGTGCGTCGACGGGGCTCCCATTGGCCGCTGCGCTCGTCAGTTTCCACGACCGCTCACCCCATGGCGCTGAGCGTGCCCAGGGGAGCACCCGTGCTGACCGGCGATGAAAAGTATGCAGCAGACGACAAAGGGAGCGGACGAGCGGCTTGCATGCTTTCGCATTCATAACTCGTAAGGAATGCTGAGGCGTACCTCGAGCTTTTTGTTTGTGTGTTTGTTCAGACCAGGACTCTCAAAAACGCGGCTCGCGAGCCACGTTCATTTCCGCTCTGCTCTGTTCAAACATTTTGCATTATTTTTTTTGTAGCCAAGTATTGCTTCATCTAAATATTTACTTCTCAGCCCTTTTTCATTTAAATCGTCTGGAATGGCAATACCACTACTAGGTTATACAAGTGCGTGCTCAAGGAGGCACCTCGGCTGCGCTGACTCTTGCACAGCAGGAGCAACGCCCAAAGATAAAGCTTTGAGCTCGGGCTTCTAGCTGTTAAACAATACCCTCAAAATGAAAGTATTTTCTTATAATGCTCCTATAAAAATGCTCAGAAAAGCAAAAACAACCACATGATGAGAATTTTTCTATGCCTGTTGATCCTAGTAAATTGTGTGTCCACCCAAGGATGGTGTGCTTGCTCTCATTCTATTGAAAGCTCCAGTAAAGTGGTATGGTGGTGTTTTAAATCTTTTTATAACATTGCGCACGAACCCAAAGTAATCGTATATGCAAATAAAAGCTACAGAGACAAAACAATGAGCTTACAAAAGCAGAAAGCGTAAGGTTCGTTTTCTAAAATATCTCGGGTATCGCTGGGACAGCCAGCTGCTTTGCAACGTTAAACACCATTAGTGTTTGTTTGTTTATTTTTTTTTTTTTTGGGTGGTGGTGTTTATTTCTTTTAGGGGGGTGGAGTCCCAAAATAGCAAAATATGGTTCCTCGATTCTGTTGGCCCTTGTCCGTTCGGGGTTGTGCTATCTGACCCCTTCACTCTAATGAGTTTGAGATCCCTGGTTTAGACAGTGGGAAGTTAATCACCTTCATTGGGCTTCTGATGGGCCTGCTGTGGATGAGAAATTTAGCCAATGCATGTGCATCATGCAGTAATACACAACTGCAAGCCGATATTATGATCATCCAGATCGAAGTGTGTAGGGGTGGGAATTAAGCCCAAGATCTCTGGGTGCTGCAGCGCAAGCTCTCGCTCCCCGTGCTCCAAACTGCGGTCCATTAACACACTTGGCCACCGATCCTTCTCGGCTTAACATGATGCCCTTTTTTTCCTCTCCTTGTCTTTTCTTCCTTGTGCCCTTACTTTCAGTTTCTTCTAACTCTGTTGGACCTCGTCACGTTGCTTTCTTCCCTGGGTTGCAGTGCGGTGGCAAGAATGTACGGGTGGTGGTGATGAACAACCTGCTGCCCTCGGTGGTGCAGATGCACCAGAAGTATGACCTGAAGGGGTCGACGTACAAGCGCAAGGCCAACAAACACGAGCGGAACAAGCGCTCGCCGACTTACAAAGACCTGGACTTTCTGGAGCAGCACCCAGACGGCATCTTGCTCGAGGCGGACACTTACAACGCCCTCGTCAAGACTATCCAGAGAGACTGCAGGGTGTGTTGCCCCTTTCACTTCTTTTCCTTTTCGAGATGCCTCTGAGTGAACCTTGCACGCTTCTGCATCCGTGACTTGGTTTATAACTAGCAGCATGCATCTGTTATATATGTACCTACTACCCCAATTATACGTACAGGGAGCAATGCGCCCAACGGACGTGATACGATAAATTGGCTTCTGAATTGTTAATACAGTTACCAAGGTCTTTTTATGTTTATGTGCATACTATTATGTTTATATCACGGGGCACTCTCATCATCTTGTGTCGTGGGCCTTGACATACAAGGAACCTTTCTCCGCAGGTTTTGGAAAGTTTCAAAATCATGGACTACAGCCTTCTCGTAGGCATTCATAACCTCGACCAGGCAGCGAGAGAAAGAGCCGTAAGTGGTACCTTCGCTTCTTCCTTCTCTTATACGCTAGTTATACATGAGCACTCAACTGCCATTCAACCTATGAAAGTTGGCTCATCTGCATTTGGCCAGAGTTGCATTAGAGTGCCAACACTGCCGAGTGACTGATGACTGTTAAGCTGAGCTAATCTCACTTACCTTAGGTTAAACTGATTGGACCTTACTGGCATACAGATTCAGCACATGCGGCATCGTTAAAAAATGGCCAGCGTAAGCGAAGCACCCGCCGTTTAGGGATGCTGGGAAAGGCATTTAGAAATAATTGTATCAGGAAATATTGTGGGAGGGTACACGTTTTCTGGTTAGAGCAACTGTAGAAAAGATATTGGCAGGTTACGAGACTATGTCCCAGGGGTTAGCACAACGTTGTGAGCCTAACCTTCGCAGCAACATCTTCTCGTAAATTCTCCAAATCTTGGGAAGCATCCGTCTGGTGCATGGTTTCTTAGGAGGGGGGGGGGGTGAGAGAGAGAGAGTTGGGGGGGGGGGGGGAGTGGGGCCTACTAGCGGGACGGTTATGGTGGTCTCCACACGAAGACGAGAGAGCACCAGAGACTGCAGAGGGATGTGGTGGGTGACATGTGGCTTTTGTTTCTCGTTCTACCATCCTGCACCTGTTGACTGCCACAAGTGGAACTTGAAAATTGGAACTTTAGAAGTAAAGTGCTCCTTGCATGTAGCCCCATTGTGGGTCTGTCTCCAAGATACTGTAATATGTGTAGTCAGTGACAGGTTAAGAATTCAGGGGGAGCTCCTCCCACCTCTTTGCACTCTAGCAGAGCGAATGCTGGAGGGGAGGTGACTGCACTCCTAACCTGTCACTGAATACAAGTTCAATTTTGATATCAATTTCCTCATTTACTCACCATTGCTACGAAGACCTCAGACTCTTCGAGGTTGCAGTCACTAAAGTGGTATAGTTTTAAGTTGCATATCACTTAGTTTCAGCAGTGGGTGTATGGAAGCTTGGGAATTACCTTAAAATGTGAAAGTGAGACTTTGCTGGTGTTGCTTGATGCTAGGTTCAGGTGGTAACTCCGTCCGCCATGCGTATGTGAGCGTGAAAAAGGAATTGGAATGCAAGGACATGCCTTGTAAGGACACGCTTTGACTTACAAGGTTGCAGCAGTTGGCGACACTAAGTATTGTTTATGTAGACGTATTTAAGTGCTGCAGGGACAGTAAATGTGCATTCTAGTTTTACAACTTTCAAGCAGGCAGAGGTGAGTTCTCAGCATTTTCTCACACCATATTGGAAGCATTCTGAAGTTTCGGTACCTGGGAAAATGTTCCGTTGAGCTCCATTCATCCGCATTGATGTTGACTGGCACTGGTTGCAGGAACAGCACTTTCAGGGATCCAAAGACGAAGTGAAACTCAATTCGGCCGGGTCAGAGGAAGATGCGACGAGCTACAGGCCTACAGGTGAGACAGAGGCTCTTCCTTTAGACCACAATTTCTCAAACCAGGTTGCTAGGAACCTGGTTTGAGAAATTGTGCTTCCCCAGAAGTAAAAGGGATTCCCGGCTCCCTAATTTCTTGAATCATCCCTTCCCCTGGGTAAAGCGTTTTTCCAGTTTAAGCACTTTTTTTTTTAGATCTTAGCCACCCATGGATACATAACTACGAGCAGCACACTCCATAGTATGCACGTTATAATTTACATTCTCTGTAAGCTCGTTTACCTTTTTATTGCTTCAATTCCAAGATGGGGAGAGGTTCTTTGGCTAATCTTCGAGAGAGATTGGGGTTTCTCAAGGCCACAAAAGTTTGAGAACTTCTGCCAAATTCTTCACTAGGAGAATGCATTCTATTCTGCTCATTTGCTTTAGTTGCATCAGTGCTCGCCAAATCCCCCTAGCAGTGGGGACGGCCCAGTTCCAAGAGAAAGCATGCACATGGTGCTGTCCATCCTTTTGCGCGGCGCCGAGCTGAATGCTGTCGCCGGCGCACCGAGATACCAGATTCGCCGAGGCGGCAGATACAGCTGCATCTGCTTTCGTGGCGGGTTTCCACCCCTCCCAACTGAAGGGGGGAAAACGCCGATGCTGTTCAGGTCCAGCTGCCCAACTGCGCAAAGCCCGTCAGCGCCAAGGACATTAGATTTTTTGGGAACAGGATGCATCCCCCTAGTGAAGTATTTGGCCCAGCTTTGAATGCCCCAGGTGTTAACCACTTCGTACAAAACTGTTTGTGCATAGAACGTGTGAATCCCAAATCAATAAGATTTGTTTTCACAACACTGGAATACTAATAGCTACAGCTATTCTGTTTTTTTCTTTTCTTGTTGTGGTTTTTTTTTTTTTTTTTCTTTTTTTGGTTTGGGGGGGTTGGTTGGTTGTGTGCTATATGTGGGGTTTCGTGTTTTCAGTTAAATCCGAAGAAATCTGACCAACACTCTCCGGTAAATTTTCCGTCCAATTTGGATTTATCCGAAAAATTTAACTTCAAGGTCACAGTGACAAAAAATAAACAGCAAAAAAAGACTGAGTTTTACAACTAAACTTTATAAGAGCACATGTTTAGTGGTCCCGAGGAGATTCCACTTCAGTTTCCTTTGAAATCTAGAACTACTGACAAAAGGGGTTAGCCTTTTAGCACGTCGAAATTCTTTCTGGACAATGGGTGATGGTACCCAAACGTTATTTATTTTGTTTCTGAAGTTTTTTAAAATTTTACACGGTAAAATAAATTCAGAATTTCAAAGAATTGGGGATTTAACAAAAATAAACTCCGATAAACCCCGAACCCCTGCGAAAAATAAACTTGGAAAAACACCCTCCGAATTTAACGAGAAATAAACTCTGCAAATACGGAATCCTATCTATATGCAACTCATGTTAGGTAGTTGTATTTTTGCTGTTGCGTTGTTATGGTTCTTTTTGCCAAGAAGACGACAGACCATACCTTGTCGAGCCAATTGGCTCCTCTGTCTGCCTCTCTGCATGTGTACTTAAGGAAATAAGCTGATTGAACGATTGATTAATCCTGCCCCCTCCTCTTCCCGGGTGCCCGACCAGGGTCGGGGCTGACCAGGAGCAAGTCCGTAAACCGGCAACGGCTGGCGGCCTTCTCCACCGCCATGGAGTCCATCCAGGCGGACGTGGAGCCCATCGACCATGACGAGGACGTGCCGTGAGTCGTTCGGCTCTGTATTTTCTTCTTTCACCGCCGTGTTCGACTCCTCACCTATTGCAGAACCGCCAGAAGGCGCTTTGCGGCGCGATCAGTTTCGTGGAATCCCATGCCTGCGATAGAAGCGCTCTTGGCGAGTTGCCTGGCACAAAGCCAATGGACCCTATTCAGAAGTGTGTGTCCCCCGATTGCTGCTAGCTGCGTCGATTATCCGAGGTCACCATAGTTTGGGCATGCACTTCAAGCATGCATTGGACGCGAGTGCTGCGTTGACGCTCGGCACATACACTGGTCCACGTGTCTTCGCCACAAGTACTGCGCAGGCGCTCAGCGTGATTCTCGGATCCGGTCGCACGCTTAACGCAGAAAGGGATGCCCAAGATATGCTGGCCGCCAGTTTTGTTCGATAGGCTTTCGAAAGGGGTCTCTCAATAGGCTTTTGAAAAAGGTTGTATTGAGAACAACAAGTTTTATGGTTTTGTTTTAAACAAGCGATTAATTCGTACTGTTGTGCCAACGTCAGATTATGTATAAAACACATAATTTCACGCTGGTATGATGGTTATCCAGATCGAAACAGAAAGGGTGCATTTTTACGGCGCGAGTAGCGGCTTCACACGCTCCTTGCCGAAGTGCTGGGAGTAGCATATTAATCGCTCGTTACTTTGCTTGTCCTCCCAGCAGTATACAAACAATCAATATATGGCTCATTTTGTGGAGAGCTAACTTTATTAGCAAGTGTTAGGTACAGTATACTTCACTTAGGATTTCGCTTTTTGTTTTCATTGAATCCAAAGGTTACGCCCTCCAGTAGCACAACTCAATTATTGACAAAGGGTTGCCTTGAAGTTTCCGCAAATATGTATGAATAGCCTCTAGGAATTGATATTTTTTATTCATCATCTAGACTTGAGAAGAACATCATGCTAATAGAAGAATGTCTTGGGCCTTTCCTACGGTATTCTCGAGTCTTCACCCGTCTGGGTGTCCATAGCATGCTCTCCTCCTTAGGGACAGAGTGACGTATCTGGCTATCCTTTCTGTCACTGCAGAAATGTTATGGGCGATATTCTCAGCTGCTAGTAATTCTCTGATAAGAGCTTCATCATTTGAAGTTCAGAACTCTGACGTCATGGCTCAAGTCCGCCGTAACACTCCCTGTTTGTTTACCGGAGGGCAGGGGCAAGATGATCCGTCTTTTCCTAACAACCTGTGCCCATCCTTTCGCCACCAGAGCCGGTGGCATCCCAGCGAGGAACTCCAAGGGAGAGAGGCTACTTCTTTTCCTTGGAGTCATCGACATTCTGCAAAGCTACCGGCTCAAAAAGAAGCTTGAACACACCTGGAAGTCAATGTTTCACGATGGGGTGAGTCCCTCCAGCTTTCTGTCTCTGGGCTTCTTGCAGCCCTCCATGGGATTGTTTAGTAAAAAGTGAAATTGTTTTTGGCCTGTTAAAGAAACAAACTTTGGTTTATTCTATAGTGTCCTGTGCACATGGAAGAATGAATGTATTTGTGGTGACCATGGGAAGTGCCCTAGTTTTGTACGAAAAATTCTGGAAAATAGAGAAGCACTTCTTTTCTCAATTCTACTCAAATCGGGAACATACCATATTTGGTCGAGTAAAAGCCGCACTGTTTATGTACGAAACCTCCAGGTCTGCTTTCCCATGGAGCACGGGGATGGCAAGTCGCCGTGATCGGCAGAGAAATGGCAGCGATTAAGGGGACAGAGATAACGTCTTCACGCGAAAATGCCATCTGCTCAGATCGCAGTTTTACGGGGAATCACATCTCGACCTTGTTATTCGCTACGTTTTTTATGCAGAACGCGATAATTGACTGTATATGTGTTCTGCAGGAAAGTAAACACAAAATCTTTGTTCGCTAAAAGTGCAGCTATTACTTGATCAAGTAGTGTAATTTTTGGCTAGGGTGCCAGTGATACTACGAAATAAATGTTTGTAAGAACTTTTTTTCGGTGATGCCATTATACATCAGTGGCACAAACTCTAAACCTATTGCAAAATTAAACTACCAGAATCAGGGACACAAAGTTTAACACAGGTACGTGCTGGAAAAAGGGTTGAAAAGATGAATAGGCTGACGTGGAAATCTGAATCATTTTCAAGCCTAGTCAAATCCGATCCACGCGTCGGCGAGAAGTACAGTGCAGACAGGCAAAAGGGAAAAAAAGCTCTGGGTGAAGCAAAAGGAAGAGGGTAGCTGTGGTAGTGCGGCGTCACATCAGCTGCCTCGGGTGGCAGCTTGTGGACGTAACAACCATAAAGAACATAAAGGTAAAACCAGCGTGTAATTAATATGCAGATTCACGTGGGAGTTCCTTAGGGTTGGCAGTCGGTAAAACGCATCAATCACGAATGTGTCGACGAGGTTCTACCGTACACGAGGCGCACGCACTACCGGAAGTATTTTCGTCTTCGCGTTCGACCCAAGTGTGTCGTGCCCTTTGCTCACGTCCATTTTGAAATTCACTTTGTTTTGTTTGCACGGGACTGCCATTTTGACGACGTCCCGTTCTTTGTTCCCCGACAGGATTCTGTTTCAGTGCACAGGCCCAGCTTTTATGCGCAGCGGTTTCAGGACTTCATGGCCAAGAGGGTGTTCAAGAAGATCCCCTCTCGTGAGTCGAGGACTGCCCGTGCCCTCCTCCTTTCTCAGGCACCTTTAGTGCGTGTAGTCTGGCGCGGACCCAACGCCCCTCGCCGTTCGCGCGAGGGATGACGCACTGTGCGCCGCACTGCCCTCTAACCCCGCAGTCACACGGGTGCACGCGGCACCTCCCCTCGCTTAGCCGGCGTCCCCGTGGCGTGCTTTTCCCGCCTGCCCAGCACCGTCTGCACACGCCTCACCTTTTTTCTTCTTTTGCGGCCCGGCTCACCACGTTAATCGCTGCTGCTGTTGGCTTTCCTTAAGCTCGCCAAGATGAACATCCGAATGCGAGGTTTGACAGAAGTCTCTGAGATGCTGACGTGCTGGTCCTGCCTAGGATGCGAAGTCAAACTCCTCTAACTCAGTTAACGAGTGCCATTTGTTCAGTCGATTAACCGACTGAACAAAGTCCTTAATCTTACGAACAATTACTCTTTTCCCGCTTCACAAGAAAACGGAAATAATGGCCTGATACATAAATGGTTAACTTATTGCTCCAGCCCATACAGACAGAGTGGGTGACTTATTGAGCTATTCTGGGAGTATGTAGCGAGAATTTCACTTGCTGCCAGCCATTAGGGTACACCGAACAGATGCCCTGTTTGGGTTGACGAAACAGGCAGATAGGCAATTCTTTTTCGTAAGTGGAATCTCGGCGGGGACGTTGTCCCTATCATAGTGCGTAACCTAGTTTGTCGGGGTTGACATGCCATGATAGAATATGGAGTGGTTTGAGTCTCCTTTTAAACGTGGGTAAGCATAAAAGACAGATGCCTAAGGCTCCCATTACCTTTGTGTGCCTGAAAATGCTATATCCTTCGTTGAATTTCTACCCTAAAGAAGAGCAGTCTTTGCTTTCACATAAAGGGAACTCCAGTTGTTTGCTTGCCCTAAGTCCCAGGAACTCGAAGGCAACTACAAAAGCGAATAAGCTGCTTATTTGTGGAAGTTTGTTCCTGAGGTCCAAGCGGCTATGCAGGAATGAGATGGCCAAAAAAATGCGTATGCTGTAGAAGCAGCTCAAGAATAACGATGCCCCTCATTCTTTGAACGAGTGAAACGTTTCGTAAATGAAGATAGAGCTTAACAATTCAAGAACTTTAATCTCTGTTAAGGTCGATTGATTGAGTGGAAAGCTGAGTATAGTAATTTTTCTAGTCCTAGTTTTTTGTGCATTTCCAGAGGTAATGCACCCTCAATGTTTCGTGAAATATGCCATACTCTCCCCTTCTCTCGGGAAAGCATGCACCATACCAGAACGAAGCCCAGGGTGTCAACCTTAAGGGGCATTTATTTATTCCATATTTTATATAACTAATGACAAACAGGTGCATACCTGCCAAGTCTCCCGTATTACCTGGGAGGCTTTAGAATTTTGACGAATTTGTACGATCGACAAAAATATCTCCCAGAAAACTCAAATTAAACACCCCCCCCCCCTCCTGCCCACACTAAAATGAGTTTTTGCTGTCGAAACAAACGGCTGCAATGATAGCGAGGCCCAGCTGTTTCTAGCTAGCATGAGCAGCGCAATATAAATGAGATGAAGTCGTCTTCATGTACATTTGTTGTCAATATTTCTTTCCTAACCCCCCCCCTTCCCCCCTCCCCCATACACTTTGAAATTCTCCCGGATTTGGTTTCTCCGAATTTGGCAGGTATGGAGGTGCACCTTTAAATTTTATTTTTATTTTTCATATTTTTAGTTGCATCTTTTTAGTCAACTTTGCTTGCCATATTGCAGAACCTCCATGGTGCATCTGAGGACATTATACACTAGTAGAACTGAAGACATTGCATTGTCTCAGTTAAAAGTTATTTGGTGATCATGGAACAAGCAAGAACCCACATAGAAAGATTTAGTCTAAGATGTGAGAGTAACTTGACCAGCTAATGGGCTACTCATACTTACTTGTTGGAATCTAGTTTTTGTTGTTTTTACATCGTCTCTTTTAGCACAGCTTCTGTGGATAGGACAGTTCATTTGGGTGCAAGAAAGATGTGACATCCTCTTCACACGAAGACATTAATTGTGCAGCAAGTTTGTGTAAAATTATCTAGTGTGGCTTATATTAGCTCGGGTATTTGTAAGATAATGGTAACCGTTGCACGCGACAGTGTGGACATAACACCTTTGAGCATGTGTCTGTTGCAAGCAAACAAGACCGTAGTGAGGATCCCGGCATGGCTGTTTGACACACTTGTTGCGTTGAATCCGACGAAACTCTTTTCATTAAGGGCTCAGTACCAGTTTAGCACAGTTTGTGGTTGAGCACAACAATGCCTGTCTCACAGTTGCAATTTCCCTCTGGGGCCAGCTCTTTTTCTTCACCAGCATAGCACAGAGAGTAGCAGCATAGTTCATAGAAGTATCTGAGAACTTTGCTATCTCGTGAAGCCTGAATATTGCTGGTGGCATGGGGAGAGATGCAGTTGGTTGTCGAGGTATGCAAGACACATTCTTCTTTTCGAGGAATACCGCTCTGTAACTTAGTTCATATGAATGTTATATTCTGTTCCAATGAGGCTTCCAGTAATAGCTTTTTTAAAACTTGACGTATCGGGCAGTTTACGCATGCACGGCCATCTCGACATTATTCAAAGGCACGTCCCGTTAGATATTGACCATCTGATATGGCACTCCTCCCAGCTCTCTAAGTTGGTACACTTAAGTAAGGAGCACAAATGGCTCTCGCCCCAGTTATTGAGGTTTCTCTTAAGCATACAGGTGCACCAAAGAGGTTTGTGACCTTTCTAGAACACTACCCAGAGGAACTTAATATCATGTGTCTTTAAACGTCCTCACATGTGCACAGCCTCCATAAAAATGCAGTTTTCTTTTTTTTTTTTTTTTTTCTTAGAACTAGAGTTTATGAATTAAAGTAGCGAGATGAAAATACAAGAGTCTCTGGCGCTATAGTTGCTGACGGAGGGATGCAAAGTTGCTTTGCGGAGCGTCCGGGGATTGTTGGGGCTTTCCATACCACACCTCCACTTCGTGTCCTTCACTGCGGGCATTGTGGCACCTTCTGCGCAACGGCAGGACCCGCCCGCATCCGTGGCTTACGTGCAAGCTCGTCCCCCATTCCTCCCCCCCCCCTTCGTCGGTTTCCGGATGGTGGCACCCGTCTGCTCTTCCCTCTCTGCCTTCGCTCCTGCTCTTCCCAAGACTTTTGCCCCTGTGGCCCTTTCTTTTTCAACCTCTCTCTGTCAAGGGAACCCTGTCAGGAATGCGTGCTCCCAAAACTCTACTCGAGTGTAAACAAATCCCCACAGATTTTATTGTTTCTTTCTTTCTTTTTTTTTTCTTGGTAAAACATTTTGGGTAGGAAAAATGTCAAATATTTTGCTAGCAAGCTTTGTGGCGAGTCTGTCGTTGTAATTGAACTAACTGTAGGGTTGAATGTAGATGTAGAAAACAGGACAGCACATTTTTCTTGTTGCCTCCCATCTGCTGTTTCTATGTTTGAGTTCCTACTCTTTGTTTTGCAGACATGTTAAAAAAATATTTATAGTGTAATATTTTAGAATTGACCTCAAAATTGATTTTTGCTTACTTTTTCCAGTGTTAAAATACCTTAAATATTACTTCTTTTTTTTTTTGGCTGTGGTGTACGATATTTTTTTGCTTCCTCGTGCAGTGTTATTGGAATAAAGTAGCAGAACTTGGAATTGCACCTTTGGTCAGAGCCATTAAGACATTAGGAACTGACGTACGATCACACTGGAAAAAGCATCGGAGACGAAACAAAAATTATCGCCTTCAGATTTATTTATTTTTTATTCTGTATTGGTTTAGATTTTTCGGGGAGCTCACATTTTGGGTATTGCAACAGGAGTAAATTGAGCAAAATATCTCTTTTTCCGAATCTCGAGTGAAGTTCTAGAGAGTGCGTCCTTCGGCCTGTCGTCTGTCTGCTTTCTGGAGACTCTCCTTTTCCTCCCCTCTGCCTTGCAGCTGTCGGAGTGTGTTGTTGTCCCCCCCTTTGCCCCGCTGTGGACAGTCCCCTCCCGCTTTGCGGCTTTGAAGCGTCGCAGCAGAGCTTTCGTCGTGGCGGCTTTGCCGAAGTATTTGTCTGTTGTCCGTCTTAACTTGGCGTTCGGTGTTGCGGCGGGTGTTCTCCTGTGGTGGCCAGTAGGGTAGGATTAAGTGTCTGCATTCTTTTAAAAAAGGACACTACCCAGAAAAAAAAAAAAAAAAGAAGAAATTCTGCAGTGCAAGTTCATTTTGAAAAATGCCATATTTACATCCACCAACATCTAGAAAGTATTCCCAGAAAGTTTAATTTGTTTGCACTACATCGTTTTTTTTTTTTTAATAAATCATTTTTAGTCCACTGATGCTAAAGGAAAATGTAGAGGTTAGAGCACTTTGAAAGCATTTTTCTCCGTTCAACTTATAAATTTTACTTTAGGAAAACTATCCTTTGGTAACAGGACAAAAGGAAAGGCTCACTCATTGTTTTTCCCAACTATAATTTAATGGGCAATGCAACTGTGGCGTTACGGCAAAAAAAAAAAAAATTTTTAATTCGGTGCAATGTTAGCATAAAATAAATTGCTTTTTGGAAATTTTGTTTTCACAGTTGAACTTTCCAGGCATTCTGCTGCATATCTAGTGAAGAAGAATGTTGGATATTGCATTCATTTTCTAACGATAGTTTTCCTAAACCATGTCAGTGTGATCCTGATAAAAACTATAATTTTTTTCAGAATGTATGAACACCGATGAAACTTTGCACCGCTTTCTACCTCACAACTTCCACTATATACACTGAAAATTTTATTCATATTGAGTTAAAGATTAAAAAGTTGATTCTTTTGGGTAGTGTCCTCCCTTCATTATAAATGTTGACTTGCTAAAGCATTGCTAACAAACAGATGAGCTTGTAGTTTTTATGGCAGACTATGAAAAGTAGAAAAATGTGTATCATCACATTTTTGAAGCACTTTGTCTCCGGTCGATTAGTGACACAATTGTGGGTGCTAACTTCCCCGCAGTGCTTGCTTCGGAGCACCAAACTACTATATAGTAACAGCTTTCTTTAATAAACAAACTTGGTATGGGTCTCTCTTTCCTATGCTTACGACTTGTAAACAGGGTGACTATGCTGATAATTTGCATCTTTATAAACTAGCAACCCTGCTGTGCATATCAAGTGTTGCTGGTGCCTGACTAAGCATAACTTGTGAGCATCTTAAATGGAAAATGAAAGCGCAAGGCATTTTTTTACCTCCGTATGCACAACTTGAACACTACAAATACGAGCAAGTGTGAGCTTCGACTCCTTGAACATAACTATTGATGGAGTAAACAGGCTTGTCCTGTTTTACTCATTTTGAAAGTACTATGTGCTCTGGCACATTATTTGTGCAGTATGGATATTGAGTTGATTAAGTTATGGCCACCACATGAGTTATGAAGGTATGCAAGAAAGAGTGATTTCTCACATTAGATTGGTTATAAAATTTAAAGTCGATGTAAGAGATAGATTTCACTCAATGTTTTCCTTATAGAATATGAAATTTCTTGCATGCTTCATGCCCACGAAAACCATGGTAAACTTCTTATATGTTGTCTAGATTTGCATAAGCTTGTATCAGGAATCCAACGTGTATGTGCATATGTGCCACGTTTTTCAGTGCAAGTGTTCTAAAACATATGTGCCAAACAGGAAAATTGTATTACGAGCCACTCGCTGCTCATAGAAATTATATGGCTGTTGGAGCTGTTGGTTTTAGGCAACCTGCCCAGCAGAGTAATTTTGGTATTCGTAAGTAACCAGTTGTTTAACGCGATTATAGCTCGATCTTGTAGCTTGTGTTACTATGATTTAGGTTAGTATCCCAAGTTGGAGAACTTCTGCCTTGCTAGCTTGAGCCGAGTATTTTTATCCGAGCACGTATACACATACATCTATCTACTCCGTGCCCTCTGTTGGTGTGTGGCTTGTTCCTGGTGTGTTCTGCTTACAGCCTACACAGCTTCCTGTGCATCGAGCTTAAAAGGATGTTGTTTTCTGCACAGTTTGCATTCATTCTTTTCAACTTTATATACATTGAAAGTTTCTTCAAACAGACAGGCAGCTAAACATAAAATATTGCGGTGCACCGAAAACTGTGGAGGCTGTAGTCACTCGTCGTGAAATGTCGCTCACAGTGTGGTGCAGTTTCCAGTGTCTTGCTGTATGATTTTAAAAAAAAATCTTTTTTGCCTGTTTTTTTTTTTTTTTTTCTCTTTCTCTCTCTCTTTCTTCCCCTGGCTTTTCTCCTCCTTTTTTCCCCTTCCCTGTCTCCAACTAGTGGACCTCCCCGAAATCAAAGGCCCACATCGCAAATTTAGAGCCCTGGTGTCTAGTGTCTTAGGTAGGCCGCAACACTTTCTCTCTGCCTTCGTGGCTCCCTACCGCTACCGGTCTGGGGGGTGTTGTCTTTGCCCCCCTCCCCTGGCGTGTCTGGTGTCGTAGTTCTTTTGTGCTGCGCATACACCCATTCTCTCTTTTGTCTCGTACCTCCTCCTCCTCCCCAACCCTTCCTGCGCGAGTATGTACCACGTATTGCTTTTCGTCTCGCAGTGTTCGCTCGGCGACTTCACTTTGGCCGCCCGCCGAGCTTGCCGGGCGGGGGTAGTTGTTCCCCTTTGTGCCAAAGAAAGTTGCATTTCACTTGCTTAGGCTCTTGGTCGTGACAAGCTCCCTACCCCCCCCCCCCCCCCTCCCCCCCGAACACCTTGCATGCTCGACCTCTTCTCCGTCTGTGCCCAGATTCTTTGCACAAGGTCGAGCACTTGTACTTTTAGTTGTAGGTTGCTCTTTGGTTGCGTTCACTGGGACACATATTTGACGCTGCACAAAGTTGTGATTCACGTCGCCCTGCTAGCACTAGTGTTAGTGCGTATGTAGGAGCTGGATATCTTTACTTGAAAAGAATGCCTGGCAATGCCTGACGGAGAGACACGCTCCTCTTGTTTTTCCGGAATGAGTAGCGGAAACTTTTGGATGGCATGACAGATGCTTTCTGGCTCTTTTGGTTAGATCTACACTTTCTGCAAGCATGGTGCTTGTTAGATGCATAGTAGTCTCTAGTGTTGCCGGGTTAGTTTTTTTAGATGTCTCTGAGAGTCTAGCCTTGCAGGCTTGTTTCATATATAATGTCCTCTTGTTTGCAGCCTTTTGATTTCTAAAACAGCTGCTAGTCTAACCAGCCTTTGTTTATAAGGCATTATGCTACTTTCATGCTGCAGGTACAGTATTTTGAACGGAGCCTTGGCTTTGCGAAAAAAGAAATAAGCGTGACTCTGGTGCCTTTCGTCTATTCCAAACCCATATCAGTGCTCATTAAATTGGAATATACAACGTCTGGCAGTATTTTGATAACCTTAACTAAAGCGGTACCACAAAGCCCCGAGCAGCGAATGCATAATGCACAGCGCTCTTCGTGGGGAATTTCACTAATTAAATAAAATTGCTTTTCAGGGGAGAATTCCATGAAGGCAGATGCTAGGAGTTGCCCTTAATCTTTATTAAGATAGAAATTACCCTAATTATTTTTTTTTATCAGTGTGCACTTACAGTTGAACGAGCAAAAGTTCAGTTGGTCTGCTATATTTCATTCTTCCGTGTAAAATATTTTTGCACTCTCCTTAGATCTGCAAAATGCTGGCAGTGTGCTAGTCGACTTGCCTTTTCTACAAGGGAGAACGGGAACAATAGTAGGTAAAAGAGTAAACATAAGATTTTTAATCACAGAGCACCGAGTAAAGAGCAGAAAAGAAAGAGACAATCTTGCTTTATGTTCGTCCCTGCTTCTATAGATTCGTGTTGAATTTGTTTGCCCCTGTTTCTATTAACTTTTGCAGTGTACAGTGAGTAAAGACAACTCTTCAAAATCATATTATTTGAAAAAGGAGGATATATTTAAGTGTGTTTTTAACTCGGTGAATTTAAGGGGTTAAGTTGAACCTTGACCTGAACCATAATAGATCAACCTTGATTTTTTTTTTTTTTTTGTGCAAGCACAGACAGGTAGTTTTGTGTCATGTTATGTGAAGTACTAGCATTGTAAAAGATTTTGGCAGTTTATTGAAAAAAAAATCTCACAAAAAGAATGAACAAAAAGAACAAAGTCTTTGCTGTGTTTTTGTTTTTCCCACATTGTTTCGGCAAACACTGTTTTCATGATGATAATATTACCTGGAGAAGGGGAGCTAGGGATTATTATTGTGAGGTGAAATGCTAGGAAACAATATAAATTGCAAATACATGCGTTATGAAAAGCTTTGATGTATTCTCTTAAGTTAAAATTAAAGCTAGCAACCAGTTCCTTATGTTGAACTTTGTTGACATGTGAGCAGATTGGTCACTTCCAATACAACATGACAAACATAACAGGGTTCTGATAGTTCAGACTTTTTGGGCTTTTAAGGTGGCAAATTTGTGTACATTGCACTCGGTGTCAATCACTGCAGTAGACGATTTCATGCATGGCCATTCCCTTGAAATATAGCACAATCAGTATCTTTTTAGAAGTTGTGAAGCCACCCAAAAAGTGCTTTTGTTAGCTTAACATGCAGCATCTCAATGTGCAATACTGTTGTACATTGACAAAGTGTCGGAGCTGGCTATTGGTGATAACTCAAATTTAGATCTAATTTCTCACACCTGGCTTTATTGGATTCACATGCCTAACAATTTTGCAGATGAGCCCATTTTTGAAATACCTAAAGACAACAGTAATTTGCTTGAGCATGAAACGCTTGTTATAGTCTGCTATATTAGAATGTGTTTTAATAGGCAGGATACTAAGTCTGCACACTCCTGGACGGTCTTGGATGAAATCCCATTAGCAGATGGTGGTACTTAAAGAACCCTTTAGTGCCCATTCATTTTCCCATCTAGTCCAAAGTTTACCTTGGCACCATGCCTTTGGAAATTCTGCTCTGCCGTCTCGCGATTTCAGCCGGCATTGTCCAAGGGTGTATCCCACACTTGTGCGTTCTAATCACTTCTGCATGGGAACCAAACCTTGAAAGAAAACCAGAGAGGCTCTCACCCAGAACTCCCGTAGCAACATTAGGATGCCTCTCGAGGCTATGTACCGTATTTTCTGGACTATAGTCGGTGGACTATAGACATTTAAAAGTTGTAATATTGTGCGGTGCAGATTATCTACAGGTGCAGACTATATAAGTTTTATTTTTCTAGATTGTTCATTATAACGGACAGACTTCGTGAATGGCAAGCTTCTTTGCGAGTTAATGAGGCAGGTATTTGGCAAGGTGTGCTGAGCATAAGAATGTTTTACGTGTAGACTATGCATCAGGGGTGGACTATCAAGGCAAAGCTTTTTGTTTTCAACCAAAATGTGCCCCTGCAGACTATATACCAGATGCGGGCAATAGTCCGGGAAATGCGGTACTGTTCCGGAAAGTGTCTCCACTTAATTTATTGTGGCGCCTTCGATGGTCCCATTCTAATTGTTGTGGCCCGCATGTTTGTGCTGGTGCAGCGTTGAAACACTCTCCATCGAAAAGAAAAGGAGCCGTGGGGAGGACGCGCCAGGTTTCCGCCAACGAGCAGGACATCATCAAGGAAGAGACGGAGGCGGATTCGCCACCGAGAGATCAAGGTAACCGGTCTTAATCTGAACTCCATTGATAATGTTTAAGTGTTTGTTCACCTCGCGTCAAATTGCTCAGTCCATGGCACGCTTAATGATAATAATAATAATAATGTGTTTTATTTCTTTTTAGGCTTGAGAAGGATTACTGCCGAATTCACAAACCTGACTGCAATTGAGGGTCCCCTCCACTTCCTTGAGGAAGTGAAGGGGCCCTTCAATTGGAGCGACGTTTGTGAATTCGGCGGTTAGCCTCTGCGGGGTTTTCTCTTGGAGGGTGTCGGCGACGTTTCTTTCATCTGCCCGGTCACAAACATCTCGCTGTGCTTGAAGACTTTCGATTAGGGTTGTTGTTAGGCATGGTATTGCTGCATGGTGTTACTTTAAAGCGGTTCATGCGTTGTAGCAACTTTCTGTTTTGCTTTCATGTTTTGTAGGCGTCCACACTTTTAGAATGTAATACGGAACTGTGTAGTTTTTTCGGGGTTGAAGCCGAAAATTTTAATTATGACGTAGAAAATCTCGCACTTACTAAGATTTGTTTTTGTTTACATTCTGTATTTTGAGGAACTATATGTTGTCTTATTTTATTTTTTGTCATCCATATTTTGATAACTTTTAAATGCCCTTGGAGGTTACATGTATCGGATAGAGCATCTGTTCAATCTGGGCTCTTGGCGTAGTCCTCAAAATTAACAAAGAATTTGCTGCTACTTTTTATTGGTGAACAGTAATAAGTTGAGGAGTGCAAAGCATGTTACTCTCAACTTTCAGACCATTGTGGGTCTAGTCATCGCAGCAGCACAAGCAACAGTCGCATGTCTATAAAGTTGCATGTGAAGTCATCATCACGTAGGTATGTCTACTCTGGAGCCATTTTACAGTGAAACCCGTTTAGAACGAACCCACGTACAGCGAATTATTGTCGATATCGAACTCTTGGAAAATTTCAAGAGAAATGCATCTAAAAAAGTACTTTTTATATTGAACGACATATTGGCTATATCGAACTTTTTCCCCCGGGAAGGCTTTCAGAAACGCACAAACAATCGTCTTCTAGCCTGTCCCTCCCTCCCCACCCCCCCAAAAAAAAGAAAGTAGGTAGGAAAGAAAATTTTAAAAAGCTCAAGCTGCGAACAAGGTTGTCAAAGAGAAGCGATTCAAAGCATGCAAAAAAAAAAAGAAAACATTTTTGCGCTTTGTTGCAAGGTGGAAGCGAAGAGATGAGTAAGAAAGAAAAGCTCTTGCCTTGCAACGAACGCATGGTGGAAGTTCGTTGTAAAGGGTTTTGCTATATCAAACTACTTGCTATATCAAACTAATCATAGCGTTTCCTAAGGTTCGTTGTAAATGGGTTTGACTGTAATACAAGGAAGTTAAACTGCATGGTGACTTTGTCATGTTAATATATTGCTTGAGAATTTTTTCAAATTTATAGTCTTGTTTTTTTTTCTGTCTTGCCTCATCATAAGGATAGTTTGCGTTGTGAATTGAGATAGCTACGCCCCTGCTATCTGGTTTTCTTTCATTTTCACATGAACCTATAAGTGTAGGGTTATCTGGCATATCATGTAGCAGCTACAGTAGCTCTTAAAAACCTAGGTGGTGATGACGACAAGTAAGTTTTCTCCACTGTTCTTTCTCTGAACAGTTCTAAATAACAAGAAAGGCTCGGGCTCAATCCATTCTAATTTCATTCATTCTATATGAAGTAAGTATTTGTTCGAACAGTGGATCTCTTTTAGCTCAATATTGACTCGGGATTGTGTACACGACGATCAACATTTGGGCACCTGCGAAATATGTTACGCATATTTTTATAGATTTATTATTTTAAGGTATATCACGTAGCATGAGCTATAAAATATTATATTCGGTTTCACCTTACAATGGACCGCAGTGGATGTCACAAGTCATCTGAGCCAATCCAGCACTGGGGCTATATCACGTGACTTTGTGCATCGCTGCGCCCCTCCGGACTTTGATGGGTCGTAGCGTCCGCTGTGGTCTATTGTAAGATGAAACTAAGTATGGCTCCTATGCCGGGGGAGCACCCGCTCTACTTTCACTGAAAACTGGGTTAATCTAGACATGGGCGCTTGTACGGTCAAATCAGGCGCTTAATGTATAATGTGCAGGATTCCTAGACTTGGGAAAGGTTAATTGTGGGTACTTGAATGAGCTGGGCGCTTCTACTGTATTTTACGGTAAGTCTATTTGGAGCGCAAGTTTGTCTGCTTCATTTGCAGGGGTTGCAGTGACGTCAGAACGCTGAGCTCTGACTGAAGGATACTGGGTAGTCCTCAAAGCAAGCTGCCTTGAGGTCTGCCTATTATCCTTGAATCAGAGCCACTCACCACAAGACCTGCAAAAGAAACAGACGTCATATTTTCGGCTCATACTCACTTTCTTGTTGCCGGAGTGGTTGGCGCTCCGAAACGGCTGGGACCGATCGCGTCTCCGCATTTCCTTCCGCACGTCCGTGCGCGTGTTACAGGTGCTGAGCTGCCAGTGTTGGAAAAAAACTCGGTGTTCAAGTTCAGTGACGGGGAGACGGTGGCGGGGGAGGGCGTGACCTCGCCCTCGCGTGCGGTCGGAGCCGAGCGGGGCAAGCCCCGGTCCAACGCAGATACCGTCGTGCGAACGGCCGTCCTCCGCTCTGCCGCGGCCACGGTCACCGTGAGGACCTCCGAAACAATCAGGTCGGTCTCCGGTCTCCTCTTTCGGGTTCACGGCCGTGGTGCCCGGAACGTGCCTGCGACTGGTGCGTTCAATGCGTCGTTGTTCGTGCTCCCTCGACTTTTGCCCGAAGAGGTTGCGGAAGTGTCTCGCCGTTGCCTGCCACGATCATGGCAGCGGCATGGCGGCAGAGGCAAAGACGACGGCGACGATTGCGTTCGCTCGTCTTCTTTGCGCCACACTCCGTTCCGTCTTACGACGGGCCGCAAAGGACGCTATTAGCCACGGAGGTAGGAAGCTTCTAAAGGTTACATAAAGCCAGCAGAGGTGTAGCCAGAAGTGCAGAGGGACACGCACGTCCTCAACGATGACCAAAACCAAGAGACGACATTGGATGAAAAGGAGAGTTCACTTGGTGCCAACAGCTAGTTTGGTCGCTCTCGAGCATGCCGAGGGTGACCCAAACAGCCATCGAAGCCGTTCCAGCACTGTACGAGTTTCATGTAACTTTCGAGAGAGATGCAACGACGTTCTTGTAATCACGTAATACGTTCTCAGCTCTGGGTTCGCAAGGACGGCTCATAGCGCCCGCTGCGGTCCGCCATAAGACGAAACGGAGCGTGCCGACCGCCAGGGTGGCACATCCGACAGCCCGACATGTCTGTTCCCTTCTGTGGCCAGATCAGGACCGCTTTCGCTGAATGGGTGGCACGGGGGCACTAAAGGCACCGGTGGAAGGCGTGTTCTGGGCACCATATTGTTGTTTCGTCGCTCCACAGTGCTCGATCTGATGCAGTTCGAGCACTCCCGGCCTGGGTCCGAGCATGCGCACGCTGACGTGGACCCCACCGCACAGCGTCGAGGGGTCCACCCCCACCCACACGGAGGGCACCCCTTCCTTCACCGAGTCCAGCTCCAGCGGAGACATCGGTGAGCGGGGAGCATTCGCTCGAGCCCGTCGTTGCAGCCGGCGCGGAGCGGAGGCGAACTCGCTTGGCTCCGGTCTAGCCACCGATCGGGTCGTTTGGTTCCGAAGCTCCGAACCCACGGATGAGCCGGCGGGTCTTAGCTTCGTACGAAAAGGGGGCAGGCTCTGGCGATGAGGTCGCCTGGGGCCACTAAATAACCTAGAGGTGCGAAAGCTAAACACGGAGGGACGAGGACAAACGCGTGCAGGCTCCCTCCTTTGTGTTCAGCTTCAGTGTTCTTAGTGACTGCGTCAAAACGCTCGTCGAAATCTCCGCCACATGAGCTACGCCGGAGTGCGATGACGCCTCGGTCGTCTTAGCACTTAAAATCGGAGTTGCCGGTTTTTTGCAGCTTTATCTGAAATCACGGGAAACGGTTTTCTGTCCTCTGGGAATGTTAGGAAAGTCTGCGGAAGAGCAAATCGACACCTCCCAAGTTGCCCGACACCGCATCTAAAGCTCGGAAAGTCGTACTTTCGAAACAAAACGATTGCCAATTGCACCTACTAGTGCTTTACACCAAGCGGCTTTGCCTTCAAAAAAGTCGGGAAACGGGGCGCTGACACTCTACACACTTTAGCGAGATAAGTTGGTGGCTTAGTTGGTTCAGCTTAGTTAAACATATAAAATAGTGCAGAAAAAGACAGGGATACGCAGTAAAGGGGGACAAGCGCCAACTTTCAACTATTTTTACTCGAGAAAGAGCAAAACATATATGCGCACGCAAAGCGGCAACACATGGAGCTATCAAGTCAGTGTCTGGTCGTGCAAAAACTGGAGGCGCTATTGGACGAAAAGGAGAGCTGACTTGGCACGAAAACAGCTGTGTGCACCAGGTCAGCTCTCCTTTTTGTCCAGTGTCATTGTCTTTTCCTATTAGATAAGCTTGTGGCATGCATCTGCAAGTTTGATGGCCATTCTTCAAGATATTGTTTTGTCGGAAGAAATCCTTGCTCTGTATTGTTTGTGTTCCTTTTCACTTTCAGTCTGTGTTTTGAAGGAGCATTGAATCTGATGTGCTGTCCGTGGACACGCCAACTGTAGAACTCCGAGCAAGCGCCCACTTAAAATTTGAAGATAATCGCGAAAAAAAGGGGACGGGCGCATGTGAGGTCATTAATTTTACATATATATGTACTGTGCATATTTTTTAGATGTTTCAGATTTTGGGGGTGGGCACATAGTGCGGACTGAACGGGTGCACGGTATTGTACGGTAGTCTCTTTCTGAAGGAGAGACTTTGCCTATTTGCCCTAGCTTCGTAAACCAGGATATCTTGTGGCGGGCTCAAGAGTGGTAGTTGTCGCCAGGATAAACCCAAACAATATTCTTGCAACTTTTGTTTTTGATTTTAAGGCTGTTTTTTTTTTCTAGTTATCTTAATGATATTACCCGGAGTTATGGGAATATTAGAAATTTTGAATGTGATTTAAATCATTTTTATTACATTCTTTGTCAATATAAGTGTTCCCCATTTGTTGTTTATTTTGGAAATTGGCATTGAATATCTAAACAAATATTGAAGACTTGCCTTTTACTTACACTGAGCATATTTAATAAGCTAATATTATGCTGCTTGCACCTGCCAAAAATATTTTATTGGTTTAGGTCTCGATATTGTACAAGTTCGTTTCCTACTGCTTACATGGACAGTAACAATTAGTATGTGTCTACATTTAAGTAATAGATTGTACTAGCTTACTGTAATTGGAACTTAATTTTAATATTTTATTAATAATAAATGTTAATTTTGATATTATAAAATTGAGTGGCGACCACCCATTACCATCTACATTACAAAGTGGCTGCAAATACAACAGTTTACACGTAAAGTGGAAGAATCCTTTGCGCAGCATAATTTATAAAACGTGACCAGCAGTGGCACAGAACAGTGTGCGTGGCGTGCGTGATGACCCAGTGCAGCTTGCACTTCATGAGCAAAAAGCTATGTGTTTACACCTTTCTTTCATGTTAATTTGATATCTGGCTACAGTAATCGTCACATGCTCAAAAAAAGCCGCAGGAAGTGCACAAGCAGCCACGATCAAAAGTGGAGTTATGAACTGGTTTGAAATGGTTGGCACTTGATAGGGGTGCTAACCGGACTGATAATTTGTGCGACTTGCTGAACCGGAACTGAACCAGAATAACAACAGGCTTGACTCCTTACTCGACTCCCCTGTACAAAAATGTGTTAAAGTTCTTTCTTGCCTATAAATTGAAGGAACCAAAAGGATTGTTTGGTGCTAAAGCTAGATTGTTATAGTGAGGAGAGCACGTTGCTGTGTGACTGTGTATTAGGCACAAAGGGTTGCTAAGGCCAAGTGTGGTTTCAGCCTGCCCTACAACTCCCCTGAAGAACTGGATGAACAAAGGGTCCCAGCCATCTCTCGGTGACGCGCAGGGGCTCCACGAGACTGAAATGGTGGGTGACTTTCTGGCTGTCTTTGCTGGTTTTGTTTGGCAGTTTGGGTCTGCTGGGCTTGGTTTGAGGGCAGCTTGTCTTTGTAGCTTCGAGCAGGTTGGAACACCAATACCATTTTAGGCTGTTTCCGTGGCGGAACTGTGCACTGTGGGTATCTGCGGTGGTCCAGGCACAGGTTCCAGCATGTTGTTGTAGTTTGTAGCAATGACCACAGCTGATTGGCTGTGCCATCATCAGGCGGAGCTACAGAACAAGCTTGAAACACGTGCCGAAGACGTTTATGAAGGCACCTAATTGCCGTTTCTGTCGCGAACTGTTTCACGACTGGGTTGAGACTGATACGGGGCCTCTATTGGTTAACGGCCATGGTACTGTTTGTTTTGTTACTGAAAGGATGGTTTTTATGATGCACCCACTACAAATTGCTGGCATGCTTTGGTAACGTGGTTGGGTTGCGCCCCGGCATTGTGCAAAGTGCCCGTGCCGACCCGTGGTGTGACCCACAGCTGCAAGAGGCACGGAAGACACGGTGTGTTTTGTGTTTGGCTTTGCTGACTGTTATGCAATGTGTGGTGACACTGCAGAATTTTTCGTGTATTGATTTCTGAGCATTTAGTTGATGCATGTGCAGGCAATTGGATAGCTGACACCTTTTTATCAAGTAAATTGACCGGTAGTCAGTCGGTTGCTCAATTAACTTGGTGCTTTTTGCTTTTTGTACAAACAGGGGCATGTGAGTATCAAGCCAAAAAAAATAATGTCAGTAGAATTTTGTTTAGTCTATTTCAAGACTCTAGCTGTGAATAGTCAGGAAACAAATAAAAACTTAATTATTTCTTGTTTATTAAATTAAATTTTCAAAAACATCTTCACTTATCAAAAAGAAAAAATTCCAGGCATTTCTTATGGTATTTAGCTTAAAGTAACATTTTGACAGCTTTGTTTTCAGTGTAACTATGTTATTGGTACATCACATCTCAAATTCATTGTCTGTATTGTATGCCTTGTAGTACTAACATCTCTGAGCCCACCTAACATCTCGCACCTTCTTGTTCAACATGCCACGCAATGCTTAGCGGGGGGCCTTCCTTTTCTTCCTCAACCTCACTGGGCGAGCATTAGTTGCAGTAATGCAAGCTGGCGGGTAATGTCTGTTCTCTCCTCCATTTGCTAGCTACAGGGTGGACCACATGTTGTCATGGAAACATCAGTGTGACTCACACCCAGGCCAGTACAACAAACTGTTAAGCTACACACTAAGCTCACTTCCTCAGCTTTCTCGCACCATACTAGAAGCAGAGCTCACTTTTGCCTCACTTGCTGCTGCAGCACCCACTCTTTACTTCCCCTCACTTCTGTATTATAAATAGGGTTCATTGTTTTCGGAGAAATCTGAAATAATCGGGAAAACACTCTCCGGTTAATTTTTCATCAATTGAAAACTTCGAGGTCACGAAAAGAAAATAAAAAAACAAAAAAGAGTGTTTTACAAACAAACTTTACAAGAGCACAGGGTCAGTTGTCCTGAGAAAATGTCACTTTAGTTTCCTTTCAAATCTCGAACTACTGACAAAGGGATGATGAAATAAATGTAAGGGCGCAAACGAGCTGGTGTACATTAAACATGATTCAAAATCCCCGAGGCTGCAGGTAACGACACACAAACTCAAAACTTTTTGAGTGTGTGCATCGTTACCCGCAGTCTCGGGGTTTTTTAATCGTGACAAAGGGGTTTGCCTTTTAGCTCGTCAGGGATCCTTCAGGACAACAGTTCATGGTACCTGGATTTTATTTATTTTGTTTTTGAATATTAAAAATTGGGAACACAGTAAGCTCAAAATTTCAGAGAGTTGGGGAATCTAACAAAAAATAAACTCGGATAAACCAGCGAAAAATAAACTCCGAAAACACAGAACCCTAATATTGATCACTCAAAGTACTAAAATGTTTGTTGGAAGCTTTTTTGAAGATTTTAGTACCTCTGGTTTAACTAAACGTTTCATACATTGTATTGTAATATCCCAGAAGGTAGCCGACCCCTGTTTTCTTCCAATACTTCTGTAAAAAAAGAAAAAAAGTGTTGCAGCAAGATTGTTTATTTCCAGAAACTATGTTAGGTAGGTTTGGAGGGCTGGTACAATGGGATAAGGGGTTGAGTTTTATCAGCAATGGCGTGCGGGTGTTTTTCTGTTTATTTGGTGCATTGCAGATTAGTGCAAGGCAAGTGATTCTTTCTAACTTTACAAGTTGTAGATGTAAAGTTAGCCGACGTTCATTCTTTCAGCCGATTGTCCTCTGGTGGAAGAAGAGGGGTAGGTTGCCATTCGGGATATTACGTAGCCACTGATCTTTAAAATAATGAGAACTCTTATCTGTAGCTATGGAAAGCGATGGTACTTTTTTTTAGACTGACCACCTGAGCATATACCCTCCTCCCCTCCCCTCCCAACAAATCGTCCATTCTGGTTGTCCATCACTCATACTGTGAGTCGTGAGAATGCTGCTATTTTGTTGAGCCGCTTAATGACATAGAAGCAGGCAAGGGAGGTTTCCTCAACCTTACAAGAGAAAAGTTCTGCTGTGTCTGGACGCCGTTCTTGTGGCCTTGTACCTTGGTTAACCGTTGCTGCTTACGCACTACTGCCAATCAAAGGGCAACTCTGCTTCATTTTTGTTTTTGAAAAAACAATGCAGTCCTCTTCAGTATCACCTAGGAAAACCACACGTCAAATATTACGACCTAGTTTTGTCTAAATGTTTCTTAAACGGTCCGGCAAACTTTGCAACTTGCAAAGTTTACGAAATCAGCTGACTCGAGCAGGCGAATTGAGGCGCAACCAACAGCGCAGTCAATGCTGTGACAAAGGGCAAAGCCAACGTAAAGATAAACATCATCACTATTACCCCCTTTTGCTTGTTTTTACTTTTCCGGACAAGCGTAGCGGGTGACGTCCGCAATGCTTTCTCTCAGCGGTGTCCGCGAGATAGGTGTAACACACCTGCGCAGCGCGCTTCTTGGGAGCCGTCCGGCTGCCCCACCATTACCGCTGTCTCTCGCGTCACAACAGCCGTCATCTCAAAGTTTGCAATTATGGTCTTGAAATTTCGTCCAGACTACAGACACTACATGCACAGATTAACGCCACAGTTGAGCGGACATCGTCGAATGTCATAGACACCAAAACATGGTGAAGAGTGCGGTGCAGACGACACTTGCGCCTGGCACATTCCCGCCAATCCCGCCCGTCGTTGTGTAGAGGATCACGTGACATTTCATACCATGTGATAGCCATATTCTTGGCGACCTGAGGCTGATGTTGCCAAATGGGGCCGAAGTTTCGGTTTCGGTTTATGCTCGTGTTTAAATTTTGATTTATAAATATATATCCAACTTTTCGCAAGGCAAATGACGTAGTGTCTTTTACTAGGGCTTTTAATGCGAAATCACTCATTATCCCGAAATCTACGGAATTGAGCAGAGTTGCCCTTTAATATAAATGTCCCACCAGTCTTAGTACTGCCGGGGTGCTTGGAATACCGGTGGGGCGTGTCACTCGGTATCCGCCGTGATTAGGACTTGAAACAAAAGGAATGGGTGGCACAGCAAGCTGCCGGGGCACTTTTAGGTGCCACCGCACATGCACACTGCTCTCATGGACACTGTTCTAGGAGCATTTGGTAGTGTAACACACCTGAGAAAATGCACTAGTACCATCTTGTGTGGTTGTCATGCTCAACCCACATAAAGCCTGGTTGAGGCATAACAGGAGTAAAATGACAACTTCAGCTACGTAATATTCCGAGTCATCGCCCATCCCCTGCCGCATGAAATTCATAAAATAAAGTGGGGTGGGCCATGTCTCGGTTGTTAAGCACAAAAAGTTTGGAAGAAGCGAAATAAACATCCATTTTTCTGTACGTATCTAGCACGGCTGCACAAGAAATACAATAAACTCAAAACTCTAATTAGTTTCATTATTTTATGCAAGAAATGCTCATGAAAGAACATTTTACTATTGCAAAGTCCATTGCTTGCATACACGCGATGAACACTGCCGATCTTCATCCTGCGCGAACGTATGTTACGCAAAAAGCATGTTTCTAACACCGCTATGTTCTCTTCGCTAAAAAGAAAAAATATCAACAAAAAGTAGAAAAACCATTTAGGGGCAACGAGTGATCGAGCGAGTGAGCAGACGAAAGAAACGATGTTGGGGAAGTGGGAAAGCCGGCGATCGCGTTGGGGCAAATACTTTGGGATCTGGCCAAGTCGGGCACCTTCTCAGTCGCAAAGAAGAGGCTCTTGCGCCACTTCTTGTTTGTTGCATACATACGTGCATCTGTTCGACGTGCTATGAACGCGGGTTGAGGCGGCGTTGCTGCATGGCGTGGACGGCACCACGAACACGAAGTTCGAAATGGGATGCTCTGCAAACGTCTGTGTGCAGCGTTCCAGCAAATCTTTATTTACGCGTTGGCTTTGTCTTAAAGGAGTGACAACCTTACCAACCGCAGTGTTGGTAAGGTTGTGCGATGTTTGTGGTGACCTTACTTTCGTAGAGACGGACTGCGATTTTACACTCCGCAGTCACATTACAGGATATGGGGTGTTCGCTGACCTCGCGGTCCCTGAATGGGTTACTGCTAGTGTTATCTTTCAGGACTCTGTTTCCTTTTATTTGAATGAACTTTTTTGTAAGCAAAACAAAGTTTACTTTTGTTATCTCTATCGTTTTTCTCACGCACGTATGTACTACGACCTCGGGGTCGCGTAAATCGGGAAGGAATTGCATAAACAAAGTGAAGTGTCTTTCCCTCCTTCGTTTTACTTTGTCACCGACGTCTTCCAATTGTAAGGTCTGCGGCCGCATCATTTGGGTATGATGAATGATCTTGCAGCCTGCATAGGGTACTTTAGGGCGATCATCCGAGTGTTTTTTTTTTAAATCATTATTCGCCTAAAAAGTGGGATGGGCGATGACTCAGTAATGGGCAATGAC